CTGGTTACGGCAATTTCGTGAAGCTATATGGGTAGTGATTATAACACGAAGTAGTCATTCTTTTTTTATAAAATTTTGTTGGCAAACCAAATGGCTATTTTTGCTGTATCGTATAATTCTCTTTCGGACACATTTTTTGTCAGGTCTTTTCAGGTTATAGAAGTGATTTCTTTTCACCTTTTCTACTATTACTACACTGATTGAATTCATTGTGTATTTAACATCAAAATATATTTTAGTTATTGAGTTGTGAACCTTTGAATAGGTGATTCCTTGTCTGGCCTATATAAGACTGTCCTTGTTCTGTGCCTTATTCATGTCTCTCTCATTTCATTATCCAAAAACTTTCTAAAAGTAGTTGCATACTCCATTGATATTGCTCTTGTTAGTCTCGTTATGTTGCTTTTGTAAATACATTCTCTTATTTTCCTCCTAAAACATGTCTTGAATACACCAAAATACATCCTAAAGTTCCTTGTTACTTGGAACTTGAAAATCACTCACCTTCACTACTTTGTACAAGGCTGGTAGTGAAACCAAATTGCAGAGGAATAAAACATCGATCCTTAACACGATCAAATGTTTTGTTTTCAATGTGGTACGTTTTCCATTTACTTGCGGTTCTCATTGTTGGTTTTGCAGAATGTTCATCATGCTGGACAGCCTATGCCAGGTGAAGAGCAGGAGGACATAGTAATGACCAGCACTGAAAACAATCTCAGGAACACTAAATGTCCACTGACTGGAAAGCCCATCACCGAACTAGCTGAGCCAGTTCGCAGGTATTCACTTAACACGACCACTTTACGTTTCACCCCATTAGGGAAACACTGTAAAATCAATCTGCTGTTGGTTAAATCGATCTTTTTTCAATGGAGACTCCCCGAAAAATCTTAGACAACAGAATAGTGCCCCCTTCTCTCCTTTGTATTAAATGGAACTTTATGTGGGCACCCTACTAAGAAGTAAATCAATTCCATTCGATAAGAGTGTGTTAGGTAACCACCATAAGCTAGTTTATAGCTTATTTGGTTAGCTTATAAGCTTCCTATATTCAAATAAACTTGGTTTGGTAGGACGAACCTTTTTTAAAAACTTCGAGCTTATCTTATAAGCTTTCTTGGGTACCCTTTTCATAAAGCTTGTTGAAATTTTCATCTTGCTTATTTTTTAATTTTACCAAAAACTTTTATCATGTCAACTAACTTTTCAACAATAAGTCATAAGCTATTAGTTATAAGCTAACTTATCTTATCAGTTAGCTTAGTTAGCTTACCATCTAGGTTTACCAAACATAGCCAACTTGCAACCATTTGTTGCCATTTGAATTTATTCTTCTAAGAAGCGTTGGACATAAAATGAACCGCGCTTTAAAAGCATAATCTCTTAACCTTTTTGCATATGATGTGTTTGATATCTGGGCAGTGTGGATTGCAAGCACATATACGAGAAGAATGCTATCTTGCGGCATATGAGGGTCGACATTGCGTGTCCTGTTGCAGGTGTGTTGTTTGCTTTTCATCCCAAATGGAATATGCTACTAAATTGAATGTTTTTTTTTTTTTGGGGTCTTGCTTATTAGTTATCTTTCATATTTAGGTTGCCCTAATAAGTTGAAGGCCGATAGAGTTGTGTGCGACCCGTTACTGCCGATAGAGATAGATGAATTGCGCTCGATGAGTAAACAGCAAACCAGAGCTGATGTCATAGAGGATATTACGCAGCTTGACGAAGAAGAAGATTAGTTAAATCCGATCTTACCAAGTATTTGAATCAAAGGTGGTAATAACTAATAACCGTTTCTTTCATATTATTTGCAGTCTCGCAGTTTCATGTGAACTACTTTAAAGTTTAAAAACTGAGGTTTATTTGGAGCTTTGATGGGTGTGCACAAAATTTGTTTAAATGTTTTTTGGCCTGATATTAATGATGAAATCTAGCTAAAGAAACAACATACATTGTTTCTGTTTCCACTAAAAAAAAAAATCTCCAATTACATTTTTTAAATATATTTTTAAATTAGAAATCAATCACTACATTTATCTATGAAATTTATAATTAATTCACTCATATATTTATAATTTAATTGTCAATTGTTATTTTTTAATTTTTCTATCACATTGTAATTAATTAATGTCTGTTATATCAATTCAATTTAGAAAATTATTATTTATTCTACTTATTTTATTTACCAACAAAAAAATATTATCAACGAGGAAACACATATCTAATTGCACTTATAGTAAACTTTTATCATCTTATTATTTAGGCAAATTTGTACATCGCATCACAATATTTTTTCTAAAAAAAAAAAAGCAATTATGTAAATTTTTTCTTAACAAAATGGTATATAACTTTTTATTTTTTCACCAAATAAAGCACACGAGTCACGACTATGAAATGATTTAAAAAATTTGCTATTATGTTTAAGATTTTTCTTAGCACATAGCATATAACTTTTTATTTTTCAAAAAATAAAGAGACCAATCGCTTCGTATGCAATATTGCAGAAAAACAAGAAATACCTTAGAAAAATATGATGTATCAATAATATAAAAAAAAAAAAATTACATTTTACAGCACCATTTTTCTAAATTTTATTAAGGAGGGTGTATTCAATTGAGATTTTTAAGGACTTTTTAAAACTTTTTAAATTTGAGGACTTTTGTGAACTTTGTAGAACTTTCATGACTTTGGTGGACTTTTTGAGACTTTCAGAGAATTTTCATTAGTGACTTTTCAAGACTTTCATAATGGACTTTCTAAAACTTATTGAGACTTTTATATACTTGCAGTTATAATATTATGTTTAATAAAATATTAATAAACGTAATATAATAAGCAATATAAACAAGAATAAATGAAAAAAAAGATGTTGTATATATTAATCCTCTAAATTTTATGCGAAATGAGTTACTCACGAACAAATGAGGATTTTAAATTTATTAAACGAGTAAATCGATCAGCTTCAACGA